AAAAAAAAAAAAAAAAAAAAATAAAGTTTATTATTTTCTCTCACACACCTCTGCGCAGTATTTTGGGCTCTTCCGTCCAATACGCGATGTATCACTGTCATTGTTTATTTAATTTTTGCAATCTACGTACAATAAAATTGTTATTGCTGAAATGATAAGTGTAAATGTGTATACTGTACATTCAACCTTCGTTTTAAAATCATTATTAAGGTCTCGCTGGACCAGGATTCTTGCCGTCCTGGAGCGTGTTGTAATTGTATATGTACATATACATGCGTATTTTTTAATATCAGACGATACTTTACTCGATAATTAGGGTCGCTTATTAGAGTATATAAGTATAAAAGATAAAAAAAACAAGATTAAAAAAAAAAAAAAACAATTTGAGAGCGGCATTCCCGACGCCGATGTCTGCGATGAACGATCTCTGAAAGGAATAAAGCACTTTCACGTAGTCAAAGTCTTTGAATTCAACGATCCATCATCATCCTTTTATTCCCTCTCTCCTCTCTCAAAAATATTTATTAACAAAATTAAAATTATTAATTAAGTAATTATATATTTGATTTTTATATTATTTATAATACATTTTCAATCTTATTTCTTCTTTAAAATTATTTATTTATTTGTGGATACTTATTGCAGTATTATTTACTTTTGTTTATGGTTTAAATATACTTGAAACGTTTATTTATTAATTCAATACAAAATATTTAATTAGTTTTAATTTATTATTATTAAACTTTTAGTTTTGACGAAAGTATCATCGTATGGTATATGACTCCTATATGAATTGCTAGTAAGAAACAAGTGGATCGCTAGTAATAAACAAATTATCACTGGTGACTGACCCGTTCATCTGGTGTTTTCAATACAAAGCAACGCCCGCTGCTGGACGGGGATTTCCCTACAAATTCGATTGGCGCTTCACGTGTCAAACAATATTGATCCAATACAAACATTCCAAGATGTTATAAAAGGAAACTACATTACCAGCCATCGCAAATAAACTACTTTACTTATCAACTGTTACAACTATTTTGAATGAAATGCTTGATCATTTGCAGATTATTCTTAGGCTCATATTAGTCAAGATTATTAATAAAATTACTTATCAGTATGAATTTTGATACTTTCCTATTTTAAAATAATTAAAAGTTGATACGCGAATAGGAACGGATTTGATAATTTGAAAAACTAATTAAATTAGTGTAACATGAAAGCATTTCGAATTACTGTTAATGAGAATACAATGTAATAAAATATATACGGAGAAAGCATTTAATAATAATAGTTATTGAATATTACCAAAAGAAAATTTTTTAAAATATGTTTATTAACAATGCAAGATAATATTTACTTTTAGTAAATTTTGCTTTTTCAGGAGTTACAATGTTCTAGCCACCGTAGGAGTTCCCCTCGGGAACAATTTAAAACTGATTCCTCGTCGAGATATCAGAAAGTTAAGCTAAATCGTGTTAAGTGATTTTAATTACTTAGAGAACTTAGACAGCAAGCTCAGCTGAAGTTTCAACGTCACTCAATGAGGGTGGATACCCCTATTACAGGATACAGAATGCTGTTATCGCTGTAATGCGTTGCTGAATCTTCGTCTCTGTTTTAAAATTACTAAATATCTTAAACTTTCCATCAAAACTAACTAATTATACATCTTTTATTTGTTAATTATCGTCGACAAAATTCATATATTTCAGGAACATATCCCAATTGTTGAAATTATGTTGATTTTGTGAGTGAAGAAGGTATAAGTAAGTTAGCGGAATGTGTGACATCGAAAATTTAGGACGGTCTATTGAAGTTCGGGACTTATTACTTTTAACTTTATATTTTATTTCATGTTCGTGTCATGCATAACAAATTCACACGTGCATATTTGCTGACGACGGGGTTCCCAGCATTTGCGCTTGATAACTTTCCAATGTAACTGACACTTATCTCGCTTCGGAGAAGTCGCGCTTGATAACATTCCAATGTAATTGATACTTGTCTCGCTTCGGAGAAGTCGCGCTTGATAGTAACTAATATCTATTCAGTTCCGAGAATTGTGATGGTCGGCGCATTCTTCTCCTTTGCTGGGTCTCACGGTTCGGGAGTCAGTAGTGGGAGAAGCGTTTAGCGTGAGTGGGAGATACCCCCCACTCTTCCAGGGTAGGCGCTTTTGGAATGATGCGTTCATCCCTATAGTCAGTCTACAAAGTATAATTATTGAGTACGCGTCTAAATCTGTCTAAATTGTCTAAGTTCGCATAAGTTCGTCTAAGTTCGTCTAAATTTGTCTAAGTTCAACTAAATTTGTCTAAGTTTGTTAAGTACAATCTAAATTCGTTTATAATAGTCTACTACATATTCTCTAGTAAATTGTGCAATCTATTATAAGTCTAAATTTATTTTTAAAATATACTTTATTGTGTTCAACCTGGTGTGTGGATTGTGATTTAACCTGTTTACTCCCTTCCAACATCAAGAGTGGTGAACACAAAAGGGATTACAGTTTCTGATCTGTCGGCTCCTGAAACAAGGTATGCGATTAAATTTGGTGGACATCTAGTTTGGGGATTGGTAACATCTAACGTCCGACGCCCGGTATCTGGTATCCGAGAGCCTATCCCGAGTAAAGTTCTGATTGACTGGGCTGACCCGAAACAGGCATAACTTTTTTTTTCTTTCCTCTTTGCCATGTAAACGACTGTAAGGTCGTGACGGTTTGGGGACTTTTTAAATTTTTTTTTACTCCTCGAGTTTTCCCTTTTACGGCACGAGTAAAGACTGGTGAAAGCGGCATCCTGTGACGGACCATTAGTGGACGTAACAGGACAATTAAAACTATTAGTTTAATTACTAGTTATATTTTAAAAATAAATTTAGACCTATAATAGATTACAATAGATTACACAATAAACACGTCGTTTCACAAAAACACAATCGATACAAGTTTAAAATATGTACGAATATACGAAAAATAATATGATACGATATTTAAACAAATTTACTAAGAGAATATGCGGTAGACTATTATAAACGAATTTAGATTGTACTTGACAAATTTGGACATATTTAGTTGAACTTAGACAAATTTAGACGAACTTAGACGAACTTATGCGAACTTAGACAATTTAGACAGATTTAGACGCGTACTCAATAATTATACCTTGTAGACTGACTATATGGATGAACGCATCATTCCAAAAGCGCCTACCCTGGAAGAGGGGAGGGTATCTCCCACTCACACTAAACGCTTCTCCCACTACTGACTCCCGAACCGTGAGACCCAGCAAAGGAGAAGAATGCGCCGACCATCACAATTCTCGGAACTGAATAAATATTAGTTACTATCAAGCGCAACTTCTCCGAAGCGAGACAAGTATCAGTTACATTGGAATTTTATCAAGCGCAAATGCTGGGGACCCCGCCGTCAGCAAATATGCACGTGTGAATTTGTTATGCATGACACGAATATGAAATAAAATATAAAGTTAAAAGTAATAAGTCCCGAACTTCAATAGACCGTTTCAAATTGTTCAACAGTTTCAACAGTTAAATAACATATATTTCATTAATACTTTAAAATCAATTATATGTTATTGACCAAAACTAATCAAATATTTTTTATGATCTAAGAACAATAAAAACATATAAATTAAACAATGAAAAATTTAAAAGAGTTCTAAAAAAATATTAAATATTGAAATAGATTTTATTTGCAAACAATAAAGTTATAAATATTTGTAGTTATTTTCTATGAACACATTTGCATGCTTAGTTAAAAATTAAAGTTAAATTTTCATCATTACTTATAAGAACATTACGCCTATAGGTATGCAACCCTCTAGAAAATAGTAACATTTTCAATGTTACTAGCAAGCGTCATCTATTTTGGACGAAATTTTTTTTCTAGAATGTTCCGCTATTTTATTTTATTGTGATGCAACGATTCCTGCACAAATTAAATATTATGCATTATTTGTCCTTTTCAAAAGATGAAAATAACTGTTATCTTAATACCAAGAATCGAAAAGAAAATATTACTTGTACACGATATCGGTATGTAAGATTTCTGTCGATAAAAATGTTGCCGACATGGCAGCAATGCAGTTCTTCTTAGTAGGTAGAGGACGCACGTGCTGCTAGAAATTAAGTTTTTTGTTTGGTTAGAAATTTAACGGAAATTGCAGAGATAAAAGGTAATAATTGTTTGTACAATTGTTTAAATGTTTTCTTTAAAGGTGTTTATCAAACTTCAGTGATAATAGAAGTTTATTTTGTGTACATATGATCATTGATATTATCTAAAAGCAATGTGTCAGTTATACAAATGAAATCTGCAGTTATACATTTTATTTTTCATCATATTTTGATAAAATTATTATATATATTTCTCTAATAATAAATAATAAGTACAAGTAATAAATAATCAATGATATTAGAAATATTGAAAAATATCTTGATACATTGATATAAAAACTTACAGTTTTATTTTCAATTTCTGTTATAGTGTTATTATTAGAGGATTGTTTTTCACGGAAATCGTAAGTTCGTTGAATGTTGAACAAAATCCTTAAGGATTAAATAAAATAGTTCATTTTATTATGGCACGAGCTCATCAATACATAAGACTATTGGATGATACAACTACTGAATTTGATACTCCACAAATTTCTGATGTAAGTAATATTTAACAAAATAGTATAGTTTTTTCTTTATATTATATTACATTATATATTATGCTACTATTTACATTACTGGTCATGTCTTTTTATACACACACACACAAATTAAGTTTAAACACACTAAACAAATTAAGTTTAGTTATTATCATAATGAATGCTACAATGCTACCTTCATATGAATGCTAATAATAATTGGCTTCTTTGAACTGTAAATCTTTCTACTTTTTGGATTAATAGTCACTTTTAAGTTAACATACCTCTTTCAAACTTATTTTTCTTTTGTCTTAAACATATTCAAGTATTGAAACAATCTATGAAAAAAGAATATGCAATTACTTTAACATCATAAAGAATTACTTTAGTTAATGCAAGTGTAGATTGTAGATCTTTAGAATTAACTTTGAACAAACTTTTTAGTCTAATGGAGAAGAAATCATAATCAAACAAGAGCCATGTGACATGAATGATGCAAAGATGAATGACAATTGTGTATTAACTAATACACAGCACAAAGATAACAATCCAACCAAGAGTAATAGTAGTCAGGAAAAAAATGTTCCTTCTACTGTTAAAAATCTCAGTAATGGTGTAATAACTAATCCAAACAAAATAGTATCTATTTCAATGGATAATGCAATAACTACAAATAGTAAGCATATACAGCAAGAGAAACGTTCAGTTATCTTAGATGAAAGTGATCAAAATGTTAATACATTAAAAACACATGATAATATTAAAAAATCTTCTAATAAACTAAAAAAGAATTACGTACGGTTACGGCGTAGGATTTATTGTAACATATGTTTATTATCGTTTTCCGGTTGCGCCTCTTTGCTTAGTCATATAGCTTATTACAAAAAAATTCATAAATATTTTTGTAACATTTGTTCTTCCAAATTTTGTTATCACATTAAAGAGCGAAATTTTCAAAAATTGAGGAAAGGTAAATTTTTAGAATGCCATTATTGTTATGCACAGTTTCGTATTAAGTCATGTTTACAAGCTCATGTAGCACATCACCACCACATTAAAGAAATAAATGAGATGAACATTGTAGAAAATGATACATCTATGATTAATCATTCGACTGTTTCACATTCTGTTACCCCAATCAAACATAAAGTAAAACAACAAAAAAGGAACAATAAAATGAAAATAAAAACAGAAAGAACAATTCATGAAAATGTACATAACTCTGAAGAGAGTACGTGTAAATTATTAACAACGATTAAACAAGAGGAAACAGAAAACGATGATCAAGTAGATGAATTATCGATGGGTCAAATAGTTTCAAATGTACCGAAAACTAAAAACAAACCAAAAGAAAATAGAACGCATTTTCAACCATTTGTTCAAATACACGTTAATAAGGATATGATGGAAGCTCTTTTTAGAGCTTCAGATAACAGTGTCCTCAACAAATCATTGCAATATGATAGTAACACTGATAGTAATGTTGATAGTAATAATACTATTACTAATAGTAATACTATTAGTACTACTACTACTACTACTAATAACAGTATTATTAGAAAATCTTATGCATTGCGTTCCTTAAATAATTCGAGGGAAAATAATAATAGCGTAACATCGCATACAGTTGTACAGAAAAATAATCAAAGCGATGATAAATTAAGTATACTTTTAAATACATGTAAAAAATGTATAATTCCTTTGGTAAAATGCGATGATATTGTAAATGTAAACAAACAAACTAAATTGAATTTCAATATTTTACAATCTAATACACTATCGTCTGAGATTTTACAATCACAACATAATCATAAATCTATTAACTTTAAATTAACACCAAGAAAAAGAAAACATACTACGTCTTTTGATCTAAACAATTGTACTCCACAAATGAATCATTCGGAAGATTTAAATGCAATCAATTCCTCTATCGAAAAATCGCCCATAAAAATCACTCGAAAACGAAGTATTTATGGTTCATTACAATTACCTATAAACAATGATAGTATAAATAATAGGAAAAAAAGAAGAACAGAATATACTTGTAAGAAACTTGTTAAACATCGATTGGTAAGTAATAAAAGGATGTTTGGTCAAAAATCGAAAAGATCTCCGAGAAAAAATAATATTAAAAATTCCGAAGTTTCACCGACTGTTAAGAAACTTAATACTAAAATATTAGAAGGCACAAAACTTTCAATTAACAATGTTGAATTAATGGAAGTTAAAGTATCTTTGGTAAAATTACCGGAGATTAAAAACGAAATAATCAAGTCGACAAATATTAGAAACGAAACTTTTCCTTGTCAAATTTGTAATTCATTGTTGTACTCTGAGAAAAATCGGAAAAAACATGTCAAGAAACTTCACACGGCCTATATTTCGAGTATTTGCAAAGCGAAGTATACCTCGAAACGACTTTTATTGAAACATTTTTTAAAAGAACATTGTACGTGGATCAGCAAATGCTGCGTTTGTCAAGAATCCTTTAGCAACCGATTATTACTAAAACAACATTTGCTTTTACATTGTATTAAAATAACTTTATCGAAAAATGATCGTCCTATTTCAAATAAGAATTTTCAATGTAACCGATTGAAAAAAAACAAGTGCAAGCCTACTGCTTTAAAAATAATACTGCGAATGCAAAAGCAAAAGCCATCGAAGAAACATCTAAAGATTAATCGCAATGATAATAATTATGATGTTAATAAACCAACAGAACATCAGGAAATCTATAATAATGGTAAAAATAATAATGGTGAAAATATTAATGGTAAAAATAATAATGGTGAAAATAATAATGGTGAAAATAATAATGGTAAAAATAATAATGAGAAACAAACGGAACATCAGGAGATTGATAACGGTGAAAGTAATCAAGTAAAAACAACAGAACATGAAGAAATTAATAATGATAAGAATAATGAAGAAAAATCATTAAAACTCGAAGATATCTATATTAATAATAATGATAATGACGATAATGACGATAATGACGATGATATAGTAATATTAGAGGATAATTTGAACGCAAATAACGCTGATAATTGTGTTGACTTAATAGAACTATTAGAAAGTGATAATACTGAAGTTCCTTGTTCTAGTAATATGATAGAAAAACCAATACTGGATCCTTCGCAAGTCGTTGACTCAACATTTATCATTTGTAATCCTATCGAGAATACGCAAACAAAACTAACATTAAATATTAGTAATTCGATACAACCGAGTGTTAACGACGATAAAAATGAGTCTATAACAGCTGTAGCAGAAATTACAGCAGAGAAGAAAAAATATCCATGTTCTATTTGTAAACAACAATTTCAAAAGCTTGAAAGTTTACAACAACACAAACGTACGTACGAACCGTCTTCCAGTAATTATTGCTCACAATGTGGAATATTTTTTTCGAGTAAAAGTACATTGAAAAATCACACTGATGCTACTCACAATATAACAATTAATAATTCATATAAAATGCATTGTCAATTTTGTAATCAAGGTTTCCGTACTCAGAACAATCTTCGAATACACGAGTTGCATTATCACGCAATAGCGGTAACTATAAACAATAGAAAAATCACGGATTTCTTGCAAATTTCGAATGGCAAAAATAATCGATCGGCAGAAACTAGTTGCCAGATTTGCGGCCTATATTTTGACACTGTTGAACGTTATCAGTTACATCATACATATTTTTCTAATGATCATATATTTCCCTGTAAAATATGTAACAAATTATTTTACGGATTGTACATGATACACCGTCACAACAAACTTTTTCATCGTTCTGCGGATACTTTGACATTTTGTAAATACAAATGTATACATTGTTACGAAGTATTTGCTTCCGAGTTACAATTTAGAGCTCACATGTTTCACGTGCATCCAAACAAACAATTAAACAAATCACCGTTAAATTCCATAAACTATAATCAAACTAATAAATTTTACGTATGTTTCAAATGTAACATAGCATTTTTTAGTGTTACCGAACTCTTTATACACATTCAAAATTTTTCGAATCACGGCGATTATAAATGTTCCAAATGTTCTCGTCAGTGTTATAACTTGTCGATATTAAACGAACACATGAATTTGACTCATCTCGATAAAAAGTTAACGAAAAAATATATGTGTAATATTTGCGGCGAAGTTTTATTGTCTGAAACTTTTCTCTTGTGTCATCACAAACACGTACACGATGATTTAGAAAATGAACAAATTGTATCCACTGATACTAATCAAAATCCTACAAATGATTTATCTATTGACGAGATTACTGATGACGATGTATTAAAAATCGATAATGAACTAGCATTACTTACAAATCCATCAAATTTTTCTTGTTCGATATGTCCCGTTAAGTTTGACAAGGAAATTCATTTGAAAGAACATTTGATCGAATATTTGGATTACGGCGATTATCAGTGCAACGAGTGTTCGAGGCGATTCGCAAATATTGATTTTTTGAATAAACACGCGGAAAATCATTTGAAACCTGGTATGGCCAAGACTGAATATTATTGCCTTCTTTGCAACGAGGTTTGTAAATCCTCCATGATTCTTGAATCACACGTTGCTCATTTGCATGCACGTATTATTTTTAAAGATCATTCACCGAAAGTTGTTTAAGACTTTTGAATTTTTTTTTTTTGTAATTTAACACTAAACCTACCGACACTTAATGTACCGTGTGTTATCAAATGTTTAAAAAGAAAAAAAGAAACATATCCTAATATAGAATGAGATTTTAGTTAATCAAATATTTTCTTTTATTTAGAAATGAATAATAATTGTGCTTTATGCGTTTTTTACCGCATTTTTTTTACAAATTACAGGAAGTGTGACAGGTTTAGTGTTAAATATTTAAAAAAAAAATGTATTTATATATTATATCTATATATATTTTGTCATTATATTAAATTAGATATAAATAATAATAATAAAAATAAAAAAAAAATTAAAAAAAAAAATAATTGTAATTAAAAATTTTTTTTATATCAGATTGAATTCCGTCAAATAAATCTATAAACATTATTTAATTATCCTATTAAATAATATTTTAACAAAATGTCTCTTGTATTCAATGTTACATAGATATTGTAAGTCTCGTGACGAGAATACATACACCCTAACATGATTAACAATAATTCGTTGAGTTGTAAGTTTGTACGATCTTAACCCCTTAAGCAGGAATGATTTTGAAAAAAAAATGGCCAAAGAATCATTTTTTTTTTGTATAAAGACATAGTTTAGAACATTGTTTTTACAAAAAAAAAAATTTTAAAAATACAGAAATAATCAATATTTTTATGGTAATTTTGGATTTTGTTTCATATTACAGAGAAGAGCCGAATATTGCAATGTTACATGTACGTCGACTTTGTAATCGTTCTTTTCGAATTACTATTTCGGAAAAAAACATTTTTCAAAAAAAAAAATCAATTCTTTTTCTTTGCTTTCACATTCTTATTTTCCATTTTCTATTATATTTAAGTATAAAAAATCATAAAAATATAAAATAATACGCCGCTCGAGTTAACTCGAGCGTGCTGCTTAAGGGGTTAATTAAACATTTTGTTATACTTATATATATATATATATATATTCAAATATTATAAGAATTATTTTATAATAGCGAATGAATGAATAGTTAAATTGAATTACCATAAGTTTAACAAATGTTAATTTTGTATAATTTGTGATTAACAACGTTAATGATATTATAATATCTTTGAAGAAAAATGATGGATGTTATGTAAAATATTAAGAAAAAGAAAAAAAAAGAAAAAAAGAAAATCGGGATGTGAGAAGAGAAAAGTAATGAAAAATATTTGAAGGATATAACAGCAAAGTTGATCGTGGTCTTGTTATCTTCACTTTAGATGATGAGAGAGTCTAACTCTTGTAACTGTCCTAAGGTGGTCTCTAATGCCCGGCAGCCATAGAATTTGCGACATATAATGTGAGAGACCTTACATTGATTGCGCCCCGAAGCAAATCGCATTTCGAACCTTTGTCGATTCCACCGGGACAGGGAGGGAACAATGAGCCACGATGTTAAAATTGATGATGTGTGAGTTTGAATGGAATGAGCAAACCGATCAACTCGATAAGACTTCCTAGTTTCATATGTCAAATAACATTCTATGTTAAATTAATCAGTATTTTGTATCAACCTGTCATAATTATTTGTGATTCATTTAATCGTTTGCCTTATCACGAATGATTTCAATTTTTATATCGTACAATTGAATGTATACACGCGGATTATAAGACTTTTTTTTCTTTTATTTTTGTTTTTATTATCCAAAGTATTATTAATTAATAATAATAATTATTAGGTCGACCCGAAAATTTCTTCCTTTTTTTGATAATTAGTTAAACAACCCTAGTAGCACAAAATATTGAATACATGTGTATTTAATAATATTAAATACGCATGTATTCAATATTTTTTAATATTTTGTGCTACTAGGGAATATTGTATGCGTAATTAAGGTTATTTTACTAAATAATATCAATTCTACCCTATTTTAGTTTTTTCTATGCTTTAAATTATTCTACCTCAAAATTATTGAGCCCGTAGAATTACTAAAAAAAAAAAAAAAGAAAAAGAAGAAACTTTTGGGACGACCTAATATATAGACATAAATAACCGTTGTTATCATGGAATAAAAAGAAGGAATGACATAAATTCTATTTAGTATTTCTTTTTCTATATAGTAATTATACAGTTATGTATTATTATATATAGTATATATATTGTTTGAAACAAGTATTATTTTTTTAGATACTCTTCTAGTTATTAATTATTCGATATTTACGATATATAATTTGTATATATAATTTGATAACTAATACTGTATCAATAGAAATTTAAGTGAATAAATGATTTTTATGTAAAAGAAAATTTGACGTTTGATTTAGAAAATAATATACAAGTCTTTAATAATTTCCTGAATATTATTTAATAGCTGCTAATAATCCTAGTTATCTCTATTATGATCTACGTAATACTGTAAGTACAAATTTTATACATATACATACATATATATTTATTGTATATGTCACTAAGGAAAGCTAGTTGGAAATATTCCATTTCTCTTAGGAATAGGCGCATATCAAAAAACGAGACGCTACGAATGAGGCAGCTGTTACATCTACGGAATAGCAATGTGTAACTTAGAGAAGATAGAAGAAGAGGAAACTTCTCTCTAGCATACTGTAAACTACCTCTTCGTCATTTTATTCCTTTTCCAGTAGCCATATTTTCGGGCAACACTCGAGTTTATTCTTCACATTACGCAGACCTTGCTTTATTGAGGTGCAAAGCAGGTAACCGAGAGAAATCACGATTCATGGCACCTTCTCCACTTTCTTGCTTTCTTTTTTTCTCTTTTTCCATCCTCCCCCTTTCCTTTCCTCCCCACCGATCACACTCGTCTTCCCCTATTTCCTCTTCCATGCCAACCCAAGTTACACTCCCCTAACTTCGATCTACCACCTATCCTCTTCCGAGTATAACCGTTGTTCCTACCTAAAATGAACTCAGCTAGGTACTTCCTACCTACGATAACAGCACCATCTGCAATAGGTGGAATTTTTTTGTCACCCTGTAGTTCAACGGCCGTTTATCTCTCGCTCGAGACGTCGTTAGCTCTTTCGTGAAAAGAGAAGATGGATGGTAGGTACAAAGGGCACATCGTTCAAAAAACCAGTTTCAACGCGAGAGTTTCCTCCTCCTCCTCCTCCTTCTTCTTCTTCTTTGTTCTTTCATTCTTTTAACACACTTTCAAGTATTCTTGATCTAGTATAGTTTTACGATTGACTTTAAAGACGATTTATTTTGTTTCGAAGTGTCTAGAACGCTCGGCTATTATATGTATGTTATCATCGGCTGTTTACATTTTGTCGTCGACTCGAGAAATACCTGGAAATATACATACACATTCATAATAGCCTGTATATGAGTGTATTGTTTTCTTATTCTTCCCCTCTCTCACTCCTTCTGACTCCTTCTCACTCACTCTATAGTATTTCATTATGTCAGATATTTGAATAAAAAGAAAACGTTTACCTCCTAGAGTGTCACCTTTAGAATGAGACATTGTTCTTTCGAATTTAATTTTGTTCATGCGCAGTGATGACTTCTACGATGAAATTTACGTCTAATGGGTATGTATCATATTCTAACGCATTTTACTTATATTTGTTATTTTCAAATGAATATACATTTGTTTAAATATTACATACTTTTAATGAATATACTTTAAATATTAAATTCTTTCGATTTGGTACTGTATATAATTCTAATTAATACGTAACATGGTTTCTACTTGATTTACTTTGATTAGATGATGCGAATAAACTTAATTTGAATCCTTTCAATATATAGATATATATGTACTAGTATATAGTTACTTGTATATGAGCTAAAAGAGAATCGATTAAAGTAGAGGTTTATCTGTGTAGGTAGATTGTAAACTAAAGATACAATATGCTTGAAGGAATCTTCGAGGGAGGCAATCTCTTCTAAGATCCTTCGTACTAATCAGACCAAGTACTACCAGATAGATATTCCTTAAATTGTTTCGTACGATTAAGTTTAATTTAGCAAAGCTCAAAAAAAAAAAAAAAAAAAAAGAAAAGAAGACTCGTCACTTAAAAAATCAAAGTCAAAGTATTTAATCTCACATCGAAAATGAAAGTATAATAAATTGGTGCTTGATATCGATTAGAAGAGGATAATTAATAAAAAAAAGAAAAATAAAGTTAAGAATGTGTAGGATTAATAGAAGTGTTCATTGAATTGACCCAAATGAAAAAATCGTTTGTTCGGTTGTCCGGAACATCCAGCTATCTGTTTGAAAATAGAACGATTTTACTGCGGTTCACTCGCATTGTATAAAAGTGATTTAGTTAAACCGAATTAAACCGAACGAAAGAAAATTATATCTGGCTGTAGTAGTTGCAATGAGTTGCATATATGTACCTTCTACTACTCCTGTTAAACCTTTAATTACTTGGGCGGATTTAATTTACATAACGAGTATGTTTAGTTCCTCGTTGGTTAGTAGAGGTATACACACATTATTCTTAATATTATTCATTTCGTCTAACGATTCATTAAAATGACATGCACTTAATTATCTCACTGTCTTTATTTCTTTATTTCTTTAATAAGAGCTTTCGTTAGAATGAGTCAATATAATAAATATTATTTTATCCTTTTCATTAAAAATCAAATTCACTTAAAACATTTTTATTAGAAAATTAGAATTAGAACTAATATAGGTAATTCATGAAACCACCTATTAAAGGATTTATAAAAATTTTTTTTTTTCTGCATTTATTCTCGTGGATGATTTTATGAAATCTGTTTTCAATGAACCATTTCATCACTCGACATATTCCAATGCTTTTATCTACCGTTGAAATTCACCACGACGAGACCGACGCGTGACATTAACCAATGTGCAACCGGAAATATCGTCTAGTGGTGAACCGACATGAGTTCGTTGATAAACTAGGAATTTACTTTCTACTAGTACTTTATCAATAGTCAAAGATGGCGTATGATAACTATTGATGAAACCCAATTTGTTAATTATTATTAATATTATTTAATCAAGTGAATTTTGATTAGAAAATT